TGGGGGGGACGTGCGGGGAAGCGGTGGAAGCGGAGGCGCCCCGTCCCCTTTGTCACCGCGCCCCGCTCCGTGCCCCGGCGCCCTCGGAGGGCCTCACAGCGCTGGGAAAGGCCCCACCGTCCCGGCACCCGGATTCCCCTCCAGTAGCGGGGACCCCAAGGGTGTCCTGGCCCTGTTGGAGTTGAAACGAGGCCGCCTTCGCGGGGCACCCCGCGCTTCGGGGCGTGTTCAACACCCCCCCCCCTCTGCGTCCCGTGCACTCGACGCGGGCCGCGGTCGGACCGCCATTAGGAGCGCTCGGTGCGTCCCGAGGTCCGGCCGCGGCCCCCTCTTCTCCCCGGCCCGCGACGGCCCCGCGGGGTGGATCACTCGCCCGCACCCCCCGAGTGTCCCCGGGCAGCCTTCTTTCAGTAGCGCGTATTTCTGATGACCCCCAAATTTCTTCCGCCAGACCTGAAATTTGCTCCATTGTTCCGGCCTCCCTCCTTTGTTAATATTTAATTAACATATAGGCCCACAAAGCTCCGGGGCGCTGCCGGGGCCGGCTTTGTGCGGAGCCGCGCGGCCCGGCCGCGCCAAACCCGGGCGGCCCCAGCCGCGGCGCGGCCATCCCGGGCTAAACCGTGCCTCTTCCCCCGGTAGAGCCGGCCTTTCTAGTCCTTTCCTGAGCACCTCAGAAAGGAGATGGAGGGGGCCCCGGAGCAGCTTCGATCCCCATTGCTTTTTGAAAGAAAAATCTACCAAGAGGGGAACTAACATCTGCGGTGTTAAGCACATATTCGTTCTCTCCGGCTGTGTGTTTTTGAGGCATCCCGGGCCTGCAGTGGGAACTTCCGGAGGGGAGTGGAGTTGGAGAATGCTCCAGAGAGAGGTGGAGGTCAGGTCAGAGAAGGCCCATGGCTGCCCGAGCTTCTCCACCTGGCCCATGGCCTCTGCTAGTCCCTTCCAGGAGCCCTCCCCTCTTTGGACCGGTGTCCCAAGCCACTCAACATCAAACCCAGGAGTGCCAAACCCCGGCCGTGACCCTTGGAGTGGGTCAGGACCGTGCGTGGGTTGGGGGCGCAGCCTGTGCCCAGCGAGTGCTGAGCCTCTCCACATGCCCCTTCCCCACCTGTGGGCCCTCTTCCCAGCCTGGCTTCTGCTGACCGTGCCCAGCCCTGTTGGGAGTGGGGAGTTTTCTATATCCATCCTGAGCCTCTTGTGGGCGCAGACCCTTCACCCCAGTCCCTGCGCCTTGTCTGCCAGGCAGTGGGCATGGTCAGGCGGGAGTGGCCCCTGCTGTAGCTCCCTGGCCCGGAAGGAGGGAGGTCTGGTCCTCTCCAGCCCTTTCCATTGGCACCTCCAGCATGGTACCCCCCACTTGATTGAAGCACCCCACAGGTGAAAAGATCCAGATCAAAGGTCCCAACTCCAGGCCTGTGGTCTTGCAAGCCTTTCCCTAGATCTGGGGAACCTCCAGGGGCTGAGCTTCTGCATGTCCACCATCTCCTTCTCTACGCCCCTGAAAGACTCTATCTTCAGACCCAACACCTAGTGCCACTCTGGCCTCTTCCCCTGCAGCCCCAACAGGAGTAGAGGGTGGCGTCAGAGGTAGGAAACATTTGTGGCCAGGCAATGTGGTGGGTTTGTGTAGCAACCCCAGATCAGTGGGACTTCAGGCCAGGGTCAGCACCCATGTGGGGCTGGGGCCCCTCTCTTAGGGGAGGGACTGGGGAGCTGGGCAGTGGATGAAGGGGAGCTTCCCGCAGCTCTGTCTCCCCTAAGCCAGGGAAAGGGCACAGGCTTCATCCTGTCCTTCAGGAAACAATGAACTTGGGTGTGGGGGGGGTAGTCGTGAGGGTCTGCCTTGGCCCTTTGCTCCAGCACCCTCTACCCTCTCTACCCATCCCCACAACCCAATCTGACTCACTTCTTCCTTCCCTTGTTTTCAGACTGGGCCTCCGAAAGGGCTGAGCTAGTGTGTGTGGTATGGGGGTGGGGGTGGGGTAAGAGGGCAGAAAGTTTTGATTCGGGCTTTTATCTGGAGGCCCTGGTTTGTGATGTGCCTTTCCAGTGATCCTGACCCTCTCCCTCTCCCCCCCCACTCCCATCTTGCCTCCCCCCCCCCATGCTCAGGGCCAAGTGCAGCTCTTCAGCTGTCCATCCTGGTGTGGCCCTGTGCAAGTCACTTGCCTTCTGGGAATCTCTGTGGATGCCCCCCTCCATCGGGTGGGTCCCCTCCAAGCGCCCAGAGGCTGGCAGGCCCCAGGGGAACCTAACCTCCCGAATTTCTGCCTCTGCCTCACCCAGGCCCCAGGTCTCGCAAACCAAAGAAGAAGAACCTCAACAAAGAGGACAAGCGGCCTCGCACGGCCTTCACAGCGGAGCAGCTTCAGAGGCTCAAGGCAGAGTTCCAAACCAACCGCTACCTGACGGAGCAGCGGCGGCAGAGCCTGGCACAGGAGCTCAGCCTCAACGAGTCGCAGATCAAGATCTGGTTCCAGAACAAGCGCGCCAAGATCAAGAAGGCCACGGGCAACAAGAACACGCTGGCCGTGCACCTCATGGCGCAGGGTCTGTACAACCACTCCACCACCGCCAAGGAGGGCAAGTCGGACAGCGAGTAGGGCGGCGGCGGCTGCGGCGGGAGGGCGCGCGCAGAGGCCAGGTCTCAGTCCGAGCAAACAATGCAATAATTTAAAACATTAACTAAAGGGCCAGTGTATAAAGATTATACCAGCATTATTCGTAAAAGTATCGTGTGGTTCTGCAATAGTCTATGTATATATAATTTACAGGTGGTGTAAAATCCAAACTGTCTGACTATAAAATATTTCTAAAGTTTTTTTTGTGTTTACAGATTATGCTAATTTTATGGGTTTTTGCAAAGGGGGCTTCTTAGGGTTTCATCTTTTTTTAATCCCCTGAGCTCCCTTCTGGAACATCAGACACTTTTTTTTAATTATTATTGTTTCAACAGAAGAAAAAAAATTTAAAAACCCAACTTGCTAAAGTCCAAAGATTTTTATTGCTGCATTTCACACAACTGTGAACCCGATAAATAGCTCCTATTTGGTCTGAGTTCTACCACTTTGTTTGTGTTGACTTGGTGAGGACAGCAGGAGGCTGGCCAAGCCTGGGCCACGACCCCAGGTCTTCCTGGCCTTGCCAAGAGACCTGGCTGGGGAAGAGGACTCCCAGGTCCTTGAGTGGGTCTGGGGAATGGCCTTGAGAAGTGACCTCTGGGTGACACCTGGCCCAGGCCCGCAGCCTCTCCAGGTCCCTCCTAGCTGACCTACTACTGTCTCTGTCCACTGCCTCTTGGCGGCACTGCCCTTGCCTCTGTGAATATTCCCACACTTCTGTCTGTACCTGTGTCTCTGTCCCCGCCAGGGTGATTTGTCAACACCCACTCTCCCACCTCAGGCCTGGCCTGGGCAGTGGAGCTTGGAGTTTCAGGACCCTGGCATATGGCCTGCAAGCCCCACCGCTGGGGCAGCCCTCCCTCCCCAGGCCTGGCCGGCCAGCATGCTCTACTGTGCTGTGTCAGCCGCCAGAAGCCCCTCCAGGTCCTTGCTGAGAGCTGAAGAGGGATTGGTGTTGTCTTCCTTTTCTTCCCCCTTTCCCTTTTACTTTTACTTTTACTTTTTTTTTTGGAATGGCCATTTTTGATGTTGAGAATACTCTTCCAAGATACATACGTGTCTGTGTGTATACATGAGTGCACACACGTGTGTATGCATGTGCACTGACACATACCAGGCCTGTATGAGGCCGAAATTCTAGAACCTGTGGCCACTTTGACTTTCAAAGGACTCAGAACCCTACAGGATCTAGAGAAAGGAAGAAAGTATGTAAATAGTCATTTCTTTCTTATCACTTTTTGTCCTTTCTTGTTTTTTTAAGAAAATACACATTTTATTTTTTGAAGGTGTGGTACAGTGTAAATTAAATATATTCAATATATTCCCCACCAAGAACATATATATATATATATATATATGCCAACACTTTATCTCTCTATATAACCCCACACTGTCTTCTGTTTAGTGTATGGGAAAAGGATGTCCGTATGTCCAGCTGGTAGGTCTGGGCTGCTCGGGCTGAGTCAGCCACCCCCCAGGACTGAGGGTAGACTTCTCTCTTTGCCTTAAACCTCTTTTATTTCACTACAACAATAGTTTCACTTTGTACATAATAGTGTGAACCTTTTTGAAAAGGAAACTATAAAGATGAAAGTTGTAATTTAAAATTCTGTGCATAACCATCTGCTGCTTCAGAAACTCCATGAAGTGACATGCCTTTTTAGCAGGAAGTAATTTTTTTTAGTTTATAAAACGTGCATTTTACCACTTCCAGTATCAAATATTTATAATCTTATAAGAAATGAATGAATGTTTCTATTTACAACTGTGCTTATCAAAATTGTGAACGTTCCCAGCCCTGCATTTTTGTGTGTTTAAATTCTTGAAAGTTACATGAAATAAAAAGAAACACCTCTTTATTATAAGATGTTGGCAGTCCTGGGTGAAATGACTCCCTTTCCTGGTTCTGAGTTCAGGAACTTCTAACACTCCCATCCCCCTCACCCCCAGGTTCAAGTGCCAGAGACTCTGGCAATTTCCTAGTAGGTTCGGGGCCTGCTTTGTTGTTGTCCTTTTTGTAAAGACTGACGATTTTTAATAAGTTGCATGGAAACACAGAACAACCAAAATAATTTATATCCACAGTTTTGGTTTTGGTTTTGGTTTTTTTGTCCATCATGGGGCTTGAACTCAGTGCCTGGTCACTGTCCCTGAGCTCTTTTTCTCAAAGCTAATGCTCCACCGCTTTGAGCACAGCTCTACTTCCTATACCCACGTTTTGTCCAGGAGGAATAGTTGGAAAAATAGCTGTTATCTCATTAAGAGATTCATCCATTGAGGTAACACCCAATAGGTGGTCTCCTCCCCACCCCCACCCCCACCCTCAGCCCGCTTCCTCCCACCCACTCCACTTGCTTGCTTGTGTGTTCTGTGGGAAGTTCTCCGTAGGAACTTTCACTCTCCTCAAACAGCCACTTTGGTTTACATCTTTTTGTTGTTTTTACTCCATGAAAGGCAGGAATTCTCGCAGGAGTTGCAGCCCCAAGGCCGCGCTCAGTGGCTTGAATTTCTTTGCGATCTGGGGGCTCATGGCTCATGCGCCCCACGGCAGGTTCTATTTCTGAACTTTCTTGATTGAAAAGAAAAAAAGTTTCCTCCCAGTGAAAAGAAAGTCAGATACAATCGAGGCTCCTCTGTTGCCGGGGGGTGACCTGGGCGTTTTCGGTTCCCTGGGCCTTCCCGCTTCCCGCGAAGCGGGCGGGCAGATGCTGGGCTGGCTGGCTCAGCCCAAAGGCCTGGAAGTGGCCTGCAGGCCAGAGCTGTGGGTCCTGAGACTTGCCAAGAGGGAATGGGAGTGAGCTGGGCCCACTGGAGGCTTCCGGCCAAGGAGCACGCCAGGGAGTAAGAATCAACGGATACATAAGCAAAACAGTAGCTGAACATCTGTTATTTGACAGCTTCCCGCTTGTTTTAATAAAAAGATAATATAATGATATCAAGCCATCTTTTCAAAATATTTGTTTTCAAATCTTAACTCATGAGAGGGGAGAGCAGCTCCGTGAGGGAGAGCTCTCTGTCCCCAGAGGCCGCTCATCAGATGCCAGCCAGACCGGGTGGCGCCCGGCTTTCTTTTTTGTTTCTCGTGGTGAGCCGAATGGAAGAGTCCTCCGATTCTTGAAAGGCCAGGGAACAGTCTTGCTTCTAGTTCTGTGTCCTTTTCAACTTCAACAGAGTGTCACCGGATCCCCTAACTCGGGAGAGCCCTGGGTGGGTGGGAGGTCTGGCAGGTGGCCTTAGGGTAGGCCCGCTGGCAGCGGGTTTGTGGAGCGGTGCACGAGGCTTCCTTTCTAAAGAAAGTCCTTGTTACTTCCCTGGGCCTCCAAGCCAGGACCGGCCGAGTTCACGGTCCTCAAACTGGGCAAACCCCTGGAGGATGGGCCTCGGTGGAGGCTGGCACTGAGGGGCTTAGCAAAGCCCTGACTCCACGCAGCTGCTCTGGTCGGGCGGCATGAACTGAATCTAGCTGAGAGCTGCCAGGCGGGATGGGGTCGACCGACGTGGATGTGCGCCCAGGGAGGAAGACAGGAGCCGTGGCGGGACCCTGCTTGACGGTGCTGCGTGGGACGGATTGACGCAGGTGGTAACAGGTTGGCGCAGGTGTGCGGGTCTGCTTCGAACCCAGACACAGTGCATGCAAGTGCTTGCACAGCTGAGAGGCGGCTGGGGCTCTGCAAAAAGCCATTTTATCTCCCGCTGGTTTAATATCTGACCTTCCATCTCTACAGCTCCTCCAGCGCCCCGAGAGAGAGTCCCGCTTCCACCGAAAACAGCAGCCTGCGGAGGCTAAGGATGACGGGGACAAAGAGCCGCGGGCAGCAAAGAGCCGTGGGCAGCCCCAGCGCCGCCGGCCAGGGCAGAGTCAGTCCCCACCGGCCTCCAAGCCGGGCCTCCTCCCGCTCCTGCTCCTCAGGCCAGGCCCCGTCAAGGGCGTCTCTGGGCCTCAAAGTCAGCGAGCTGGTGGTGCTCTGAACACAGGAACGCAGCGTTGGGCTGCCGCTCCAGTTGGTGGGGGTGCAGTACGCGCGCCTCTCTGCTGCATGGACAATTCATGTTTTGATTGATCACCTCAAGTATCTCATTACACTTACTTTGCTGGCCCGTGGAAACGAAAAGGCCGCTCTTTCTTGAAATTACCTGGAGTGTAATAATACTCATTAAAGTAGTTCCTAATGATGAGACTCAATCAAGCATGGTAGGCCTGGTGCCCTGGCCCTCCCCCTTGGAGGAGATGATATACTATTTATTATTATTATTACTATTGGCTTGCCTGGCTGCAGGACAACAGCCACTCTTCACTGGGGCCTAGCTCCCCATGGATTTGTGGGGAGCTGCACCGTGGGCGCAGGATGTCCTGGGCACCCCCCCTCTCTCCCCCCCCCCCCCGTGAGGGCTGTGGTGTTTTCCGCTGAGGCGGACTTGCCTGGTCGCCGGTCCAGGATCCAACTCCTCCAGGCCGAGCTCAGCGCAGGCAGTCAGGGAGGAGACAAAATTCTACCTCGGGGTCTGTGAGTCGGCGGGCCTGGCTGAGCGGCATCCCCAGGCCCCGACCTCTGGCCCGGCCCCCAGAGGGAAGGGTTACGGCCCCGGCCCTGTGACTGCGGGGAGACCCTCCTGAGGAAGTATGGGCGGCCTGCTGCACACATCAGCCTCCCCGGCAGCCTGGCCATGGTGCCCAGGCCGCTGGCCTGTCCCGGGTTCGTGCCCCCCCCCTTCCGCAGGCCCTTTGTCTGGGAGGGTCTGTCAAGCGCCGTCTCTGCGCCCCCCCTCCCCCTTCCCCCCCCCCCGCCACTTTCTTTCTTCCTGTCTCTTTTCTCTCCTCCTTGGATGGGTAATCACAGGCCCCAGCTGCCAGCGCCGCCGGCCTGGGCTGCCCAGCTGTCCCGGGCTGCCCGGCTCTCCCGGCCCCGAGCGGCCAGCCCCGGCGCGCTTCCTTCAGGCCCAAACTTTGTCTCCTGGCTTGTTGATCGTTGGGCGATCCCTCTCTCAACCACAAAACGCTTGGTCGCTTCTCAAACTGGCGCTGACAGCACCGTCCACACCACCCCCTCGCCAGCACTCCGTGGCTTTGGACTAGTCTGGCCTTCCCACGGTTCCCCTAAACTTGTTAAATCATAGTAACGCATAACAAAATGTACTCGGTTAACCACTCTCCACGTATGTGTCTGTGTGCCAAGTGCATTGCTCACGCTGTGCACCCGCCTGTCTCCCACCTCCCCAAGAGCCGAAATTCTGCTCCCGCTTGTCCAGCACCAGGTATCCTCGGCCCAGCTCCCCCTGCGTCCTGACTCCGAGTAGCCCCTTCCTCAGACCACGTCCACCCCCCCCTGTAACCACTCACCGTGCCTCCCAACACTAAAATCTCCAGATGAAAATTGGGAACCACTCAGTGACCCTGCGGGGATGGAAAGCTGAGCCGAGCTGGCTCGCGGACAGCCCCAGGATGGTGGAGAGTTTGGATTCTACGTTCTTCATGCAAATACTTCTACAAGGCCTCTGGCACGGATGGAACGGCGGGTCTGTGGGAAGCAGAGTTTTGTTGTTTTACTGTGACTTTTTTTTGTCATTTCTTTTTTGGTACTGGGGATCGAACCCAGGACGCTGCTAGGCAAGTGCTTTGCCACTGAGCTACATCCCAGCCCTACGGTGACGTTTTTGTTTCACTTTATTATTATATAGGTGCCGAGGATTAGACCCAGGGCCTGGCACGCGCCCTGCCGCGGGGTACACCCCCAGCCCCAGGTACAGAGTCCTAACCACCAACAGACCTGTGCTGAAGTTACCGCTCCGTGGCTCCAGGGCTCAGCCGAGTGTCTCGGACCCCCGGAGAGCCCAGCCATTCTTTTGCAAACAGAAAGAACATCTACCTAATGGGCTTCATGCAAGGGATTATTGTGAGCTAATGAACAGAGCAGAAGTGAGCAGAATAGGCCCAGCAACCCGGGGGTTTCCGCACCCCTGCAGGGGGCCCTGTTCCCCCCCACACACATCGATCATCTCCTGGCACAGGTGATCTGCCCACTGGGCTTTTGCCGCACCTCCCGCTAACCAGTGAACCAGCTATGCGGTTGTTCAGGCAAAAGCAGGGAGAGAATTGACTACGAGGGGCAACAGCCACGTGGGAATAGAAAGTAGGAGAGTTACAGGAGGTGAGGGAGAGTGGAAAACCATGCTGCCAGTAGTTTGATACTTTCTAGCAGTTTCTACAAATACTAGCTCCGTTCTCA